GGTCTCCATGAACCATAGACAAATATGATAAGAACCTCCTGATATGTCTCAAGTAGATCTTAATCAGCAGGTTAATTATGTGAGGTCATTTGAAAATAAAACAAGTGATAGCTTCTGGGCTCTGGGTCTTTAAAAAAAAAAAAAAGAAAAAGAAACATAAAGCATTCACTTTGAGTCAGAGCTGACTTGTTGCTTTCTTCTCACTAGTGTTACAAACCTGTATCTCAACTTGCCCAGACCCGTGAAAGTTGCCTGACCTTCCTGCCTCAGGTGCCTTCCCCATGAATCAGCCTCACTCTTATTTTCAGTTTCTGTAACATTTCTCTCCCTTAAAACAGTCTCTCTGATTGCCTCCTGCAGACAACAGTGCTTCAGTTTGATTTTTGACTTAGTTATAGCACACTGGAGTCTCAACAGTCTATTGCATGGGGTTTCCATAGGCATTAAATGAGATAATGCACACACGTGTTTAGCATATTGCCTGGTATGATATCTTTCAGAGTTAAATGCTCTTTCTGTAACTAAAAGTTTTAAAGTAAAATGCAAATTTCTCATACTACACAGCAATCCCACACCTAGATATCTACTGAAGAGAAATGAAAACTATATTTACATAACAACATGCAGGCTAATATTCATAGCAGTGTTAGTCATAATAGCTAAAATCTGCAAATATGTACATTTCCATCAACTAGTGAATGATAAACAAAATTTGTATGCTAGTTGCATACTATATTCCATAAAATCCATGTCCATTTGGAACCTTAGAATCTGACCTTATTTGGAAACAAGGTATTTGCAGATGTAACTAGTTACATACAGAAATAAGTTGGATCCTAATCCAAGGATTGATATTTTTATATTAAAAGAATATAGGGGAGACAAAAAGACAAGAAAGGAATAGCCCCATGTGATGACGGAGGCAGAGATTGGAGTAACGCCTTTATAAGCCCTGGAACGTGAGGGCTTGCTGGCAACCACCAGAAGCTCAGATGAGGCAAGGAAGTATCCTCCCCTAGAATCTTCAGAGAGAACATGGCTCTGCCAACACGTTGATTTTAGGCTTCTCGCCTCCAGAACTGTGAGAGAATGTGTCTGTTGTTTCCAGTCACCAAGTGTGTGGTATTTCGTCACTGCAGCCTTAGAAAACCAATACATTTGGTACAATAAAACGCCACTCAGGCACAAAAAGAAATGCACTACTGACATTTAATCAAGTATGGATGAATTTCAAAATACTATGCTAACAGAAAGAAACGATACTTAAAAGATGGCATACTGCATGGTTCCATTTATATGAAAAGTACATTTATAGGGATAGAAAATAGATTATTGGATTCCTGGGGAAGCAGATGAGAAAGATTGCAAATAATCTGAAATAATCTCTTTAAAGTGATGAAAAAGACAAACTGAATTGTTTTGATAATTGTACAACTCTGCCAGTTTACTAATAATCACTAAATTATGTAGACACATGAGTAAATTTCTTCATATGCTTATTATACCCCAATAAAGTTCTATTTACTGTAAAGAAGAAAAGATGCTGTCAAGAAGAGTGATTAAAAATCAAAGTTACAAAATGACATGGCATTTGAGATTATAAGTAAGGGTGATAGATTGGGGAAAAAAATCTGTAAATCTAGAATCTCTTTTTTTTCTCCTGGACATACTTTTTTGTTTGTTTGTTTGTTTTTAAATCCTTAAAAATTTGTTTTGCTTTTGAATCAATGGATATATCATTTAGACAGAAGATCAATATGGAAACTTCATACTTAAATGACACATTATACCAAATTGAACTAACAGATATGTACAGAACATTCCATTCAAAAACAGTACAACACACATTCTTCTCAAGTGAACATGAAACATTTTCTGGGATTGATCCCATGTTAGGTCACAAAATAAAACTCAATAAACTCCAGAATTTTGAAATCATCACAAGCATCTTCTCCAACTACAGTGGTATAAAAGGAGAAATCAATCACAAAGGAAAAATGGGAAAATCATAAAAATATGAGGACTAAATAAACAACATGCTCTTGAACTTCTAATGGGTCATCAAAGATATCAAAGGAGAAATCAAAAAATACTTAGACACAAATGAAAATAGAAACAAGGCACATTAAAAATCTATGGGATGCAGAAAATGCTGTTCTAAGAGGGAAGTTCATAGCAATATAAGCCTACCTCAATAGACAAGAAAAACCCCAAATAAATAACTTTACACTTAGAGGAACTAGAAATAAAAGAACAAACAAAACCCCAGATTAGTAAAAAGGAAGGAAATAACGAAGATCAGAGTGAAAAATAATTAAAAGAATGACTAAAAAACTCAGTAGAAAAGATCAATGAGACTAAGAGCTAGCTCCTTGAAAAATAAACAAAATTGATAAACCTTTGGCTAGATTAACCAAAAATGGAAGAGGATTCAAATAAATAAAATCAGAAATGAAAAGGGGGAAGTTACAATTGAAACCACAGAAATACAAAGGGCAATAGGAGACTACTTTAAAATTGAGCAACCTAGAAGAATTGGGGATATTCTTAGAAACAATCTTCTAAGACTGAATCATGAAAAAATGCTGACTAGACCAATTACTAGTAATGAAATCAAAATAGTACTTTAAAGTCTCACAATAAACAAAAGCCCAGAACCAGACTGCTTCGCTGGCAAATTCTACGAAACACTCAAAGAAGATTTAATACTTATTCTTCTCATTTTTTTTTCCCAAAAATTGAAGAGGAGGAAAATATCCAGCACATTTTATAAAACCATTGTCACCCTGGTACCAAAACCAGATAAGGACACAACCAAAAAAAAAAAAAATTACAGGTAAATAAACTTGATCAATATAAATGCAAAAATCCTAGCAAACAAAATCTGATAGTACATTAAAAGTATCATACATCATGATTAGAAGGGATTTATTCCAGGGATGCAAGAATGGTACAGTGTCTGCAAATCAACAAATTAACAAAAATGAAGATTAAAAATTGTATGATCATGCCAATAGTTGTAGAAAAAGATCTGACAAAATTCAACAACTATAGGATAAAAACTCTTATTAAATGGGTATAGAGGGAACATACCTCAACATAATGAAGACCATATATAACAAACCCACAGCTAACATACTCAGTGGTGAAAAACTGAGAGCTTTTTTCCTCAAATCACGAAAAAAATAAGGATGCCCGCTTTTACCACTTTTAGTTGACACAGTATTGGAAGACTCAGCCACAATCAGACAAGAGAGATAAAAAGCATACAAATTGGGAAAAGAAGTAAAACTGTCACTATTTGCAGGTGACACAATACCATTCATAGAAAATCCTAAAGACACCACCAGAACTATTAGAGCTAACAAATGAGTTCATTAAATTCATAGGAAACAAAATCTATACACAGAAATCTGTGGCATTTCTACACTAATAATGAACTATCAGAAAGAGAAATTAAAAATAATTCTATTTATAATTGCATCAAAATTTAAAATACTTAGGAATACATTTTGCTAGGAAGGTAAAAGACTTGCACTCTGAAAAGTCTAGGACACTGATGAAAGAAATTGAAGACAACATAAATAAATGGAAAGATATCCTTCATGAATTGAAAGGATTAATATTGTTAAAATGTCCATACCACCCAAAGCAATCTACAGATTCAATGCAATCCCACAGAAACGAACAATTCTAAAATTTGTATGAAACCAAGAAAGACCCCAAGTTGCCAAGGCAATCTTGATATAGAAGAACAAAGCTGGAGGTCTCACCTGCCCTGATTTCAAATTATACTACAAAGCTACAGCAATCAAAACTGCATGATACTGGAGCAGTAGCAGACACACAGATCAGTGGAACAGAATAGAGAGCCCAGAAATTAAGCCAGACTTATATGGTCAATTAATTTTCTGACAAAGGTCCAAGACTGTAAAGTCAGTCTCTTCAATAAATGGTGTTGGGAAAACTGGACAACTACATGCAAGAGAGTGAAACTGAACAGCTTTCTTATACCGTATGTAAAAAGAAACCCAAAATGAATTAAAGGCTTAAGTGTCAGATCTGAACTATAAAACTCCTAGAAGAAAATATAGGTGGTAACCTCATTGACATTGGTCTTAGAGATGTTTTTGTGGTTATAACACTAAAGGCCTGGGCAACAGAAGTAAAAAGAAACAAATGGGACTACATTAAACTAAAAAGCTTTTACACAGCAAAGGAAATCATTAACAAAAGGAAAAGGCAACCTGCTAAATGGGAAAAGATGTTTGCAAATCATGTATCCAGTAAGGAGTTCATATAGAAAACATATATAAATAACTCATTTGTATTGATGAGTGCATGGATCTGAAAAGACATTTTTTTCCAGAGAAAACATACAGATGGACAACAGACACATGAAAAGATGTTCAACATTGTTAATTATTAGGGAAATGTTAATTAAAATGACCACAATGAGATATCACCACATACATGTTAGAATGGCTAACATTAAAAAGACAGTAAATAATCAATGTTGGAGAGGATGTGGAGAAAAGGAATCCCTTATACACAGTTGGTGGGACTGTAATC